ACGCGTCGGGGCGGCTGCCGGCGGGGGGCGAGGAGGAGCCCCCCTCCGCCGCGCTGCTGCCGCTGGGCGGGAACGGCAGCGCCGCCGCGGGGCTGCGGGAGGGCACCCACACCGCCACCCTGGCGGCCTGCGCTTCGCTGCTGGCCCTCGTCTTCTGCCTGGGCTCCTACGGCAACCTCATCGTCTTCTTGTCCTTCTTCGACCCGGCCCTCAGGAAATTCAGGACCAACTTCGACTTCATGATCCTCAACCTCTCCTTCTGCGACCTGTTCATCTGCGGGGTGGCCGCCCCCATGTTCGCCTTCGTCCTCTTCTTCGACCCGGCCCGAGGCGTGCCGGCCGCCTTCTGCTTCGCCTTCCACCTCACCAGCTCTGGCTTCATCATCATGTCTCTGAAGACGGTGGCGGTGATCGCCCTGCACCGCCTGCGCATGGTGCTGGGCAAGCAGCCGCACCGCGCTGCGCCCTTCCCCTGCACGCTGCTGCTCGCCGCGCTGCTCTGGGCCGCCAGCTTCACCCTGGCCACCATGGCCACCTTGAGAACCCGCGGCTCCCGGCTCTGCCTGCCCATGTCCAGCTTCGCCCGCGGGGATGGGAAGGTCATCCTTTACCTCTACGTCACCGACTTCATCTGCTGCGTGGCCGTGGTGTCCGTCTCCTACGTCATGATCGCCCAGGCCCTGCGGAGGAACGCGCAGGTGAGGAAGTGCCCACCTGCGGTGGCCGTGGGCACCTCTGGACCCCAGCCCTTCGTGGGGCCGCCGGCCGCCGGGGCCGGGCAGAACGCCTTGCCCGCCCTGTACAGGAACTGGGGCTCCGGCAAGCCGCAGCACGGTCAGGCTCACAGCTACGCCATGCATCTGGGCCAACCGTCGGCCACCGGCCGGCTGCAGCTCATGCCTGCCGTCAACCTGTCCGCAGCCAAAGACTCCAGGGCGGTGGTGACGTGTGTTGTCATCGTGCTCTCCGTCTTGGTGTGCTGCCTGCCCCTGGGTATCTCTTTGGTGCAGGACATGCTCTCCGGCAGCGGCAGCTTTGTGCTCTATCAGTTTGAGCTGTGTGGATTTACCCTCATTTTTTTCAAATCTGGGTTAAACCCTTTTATATATTCCCGCAACAGCGCTGGACTTCGGAGACGAGCCCTGTGGTGCCTGCAGTACCTATCCCTTGTCTTTTTCTGCTGCAAGCAGAAGACGAGGCTTCGAGCCATGGGCAAAGGCAGCCTGGAAGTCAACAGGAACAAGTCATCCCACCATGAGACCAATTCTGCGTACGTGTTGTCTCCTAAGCCTCAGAAAAAGTTTGTGGACCAAGCTTGCGGTCCCAGTCATTCCAAGGAGAGCGTGCTGAGTCCCAAGGCATCCTACGGACATCAGCACTATGGGCAGAGCAGCTCAACCCCCATGAACACTCGCATTGAGCCCTATTACAGTATCTACAACAGCAGCCCTTCCCAGGAGGCGAGCACCCCGAATAGCTTGCAGCCGGTGAACTCAACTTTTGGCTTCACCAAATCCTACATTGCCATGCACTACCACACCACCACCGACCTGGTGCAAGACTGTGGCAGCGCTTCCACCAAGCCGATACCTGTACCCTCAGTGTAACCTTGGGAAAGCAGGTCTGATCTAGCTCATTTAGGGGATGCCCATCACTGTTGGAGTTCTGAACTCAATGGTATTGCTGTACTGCTCCCAGCTTAAAAAAACCAAAACAGTAGTGTTAACATCCGGCTACATGCATTTGAAGTGAATACTAGAAAATTACTTCTGTGGCTTTTTCTTGAATTTCTCTGTCAAGTCAGAAAGGGCAACATTTTAGGCTTGAATTTCGAATTGTTACTCGATGACATGTGATTGATTACATTTTGAGGCAAAATATCTCAGAGAACAATCTGAGGCTGTGCCAGGAGTGTTGTCTGTTGAAGTGCATACTTGCCGTATTTTCAGGAAGGAAGAGTTGGGAGGATGCTTGGTAATGCTCTGGTTTAAATTTCCATTTGCTGAAGGTCACAAGGATTGGTGGTGTTTTGATGTAGCAAGTGTCAGCAGCACCGAAATCTGTGAATTTCAGCTTCCTGGAGCAAGAGGGTTTGACAGACAGTGATGTATTGCCACCAGGAGGGGACTGGGGAGAAGAGTTGTGGTGCCATAACGAACCTCTGAAGTATACGTATTGATTTCCACTGTACATTTATTGTAAGGACTGGTGCCATTGTATATCCCAAAATAATGCATTCAGCCAAGTGCTTTTCATCTGATAGAAATAACTGCCCAGTATGAATTATAGGTTTTATTTGAGGATAGGGTTGAATATTGCAGTATTACAGAACTGCCTCCTGTTAATAATGCAGTCACTTCTGGAATTTTCTAATCTATTCTGGTGTTGCTGGTTGCTCTTTCTCTGTGGTTTTATTTAAGAGTGGGAAGTAGAGGAGTTTGGCCGAGACATTCCTGAGAGCTATGAACAACTTTTAGAGCAAGAGTACCAAGTTGTTGGAGGAGCCAGGCCATTACGAGGCTTTGACCTCGTCCTGCGATGCCAGTTTGATTTTAAGTTTAATATGTCTACTGATACTCTTTATCTAGTGGTTCACACTGAGCAAACAACTGAAGTATTTTTTATAAATCCACCCACTGGTGTCGTGCAGTGCGTTGTGGGACCTCCTTGTGAACTGGAATCATCTGCAGACGTTTAAATTCCGGACAGTCACTGCTTTGAGCGGACAGATCTTTTCCAAGCAAGCAGTCGCCCCTCAGCTGCTGTTGGCTTCAGGAGAGCCGTGATATCTGCAGAGCGACCGTGCCAAGAGTTCTGGTGCCAGTGGTGGGAGAATGGCAGCCCTTCAACAAAATGGTCGCGATGGGAAGATGAACCGTTCGCCTCATTGCTGCGTGTGAGTCGTCGTTGGTTTGGGCTGTTTGTTAACCCAGCTGTTTTCAGGGTTTTCCTGGAAGGCTGTTAGTGTGTGAACACTGCTCTTGGTTTAGCACTCGGAATTTTAATTCACTTTGAATAATTCAGTGCGGCTTTATTGCAATAAAATGAACGCAGACAACTTTCTAATACCAATGGAAAATGGAAATGATTTCAGTAAGTCTTTTCCCCCTGCCCAGATGTGGTTCTTACTAACGTAATTACAAAAGGTATTTAAAAGATGCGTTGTTTGCTTTTTTCTCTCTTTGTATTTCTCTGAATTTGGAGGTAAAAATACATGGGATTTTGACCATCTCATATTGCAGAATGTAGGGCAGGGCCTGGGATGGACCTTGTGGGGGTTTAAGATAGACACTAAGACTGGTTTGGACATGAAGCGTGGAACGTGAAGATTTGAGTCTGCTGTATGTATGCACACTTCCATACCATACGTTTGTCTTGGGTCTCCTGAACTTCATCCCACGACAGGAGATGAACTCCTTCTTGCCTTATTCACAAAAGTAGTTCACTGAAGTAATTTGCACTGAATGTTCATGTGGGAGTAAAGAGGAGAGGGTACAGCTTTGGGACAGAGGGAGCTTTTAATTCCTTTATGTGAAATGTAATTAAGGCAAAGGAAATTAAGTCCCTATCAAGCACCTTGTGTTACTGTTCTGCTTAACCCCTGGTGCCAGCCGTGCTCCTAAAGCAGCCGATGTGTTCATATGTCTGTGATAGGCAAGTATAACAACTTCATTCAAGCAATATCTGATTTAAGGTTTTGATTCCATTTAATAACTGTCTTTTTGGAGGAGGTTTATGGATGTAGTAAATAGAAGAGTGATTTCATTTTGAAAATACATAGCCACAATTTCTTCCAAGCACAATTTAAACTGGAGTAATCAGTTGTACAACGAAAATGACTTCCTGTAGACTCTCCTGTGGTATATCTATTCTTTTCTTTTCTTTAGCCCACTTGGACTATCAGAACCAGCCAAGTAAAGATCGGTGGTTTGGGTTTGCTCACCTTACAAACGAGTCCAGATTGTGCTGCACCAAATGATCTGTTCTCAGCTGGTAGTTATTTCCTGCCAGGACCTGTTTTTCTCATTTGAATGTGGAATGTGTTAGATAGCTGATCATTCTTTTATTTTTTCATATGATACAAGTAAGTAGCGTTAGGTGATGATGGTGACTAGGCAGAGGTAGCACCGAAATGGTATGAAATGGATTAGGCTGATTGTGTCAAGTGAAATTTTCTTAAACCTATTATTACGATATTATTACACAGAATTTTCTTGCCTGTTCTTCAGAGGTTTGTGGTAACAGCATTTAGATAAAACACCAATTATTTAACAGTACAGGCTGGCATACTCTGCTAGCTTGTTCTTGGTTGTCTGGTTCTAATGTTGGCCTGCAGTTTTGAAAGATTTGTAAGTCTGTTCTCTTCCACCACGTACCCAAGTGAGGCAGCACCATGGATTTGCATTTGCATCTCTCAGGTGGCTACACTGACTTTAATCTTTTTGTGCCAAACCACAAGAGGAAATTTTTACCTGTGTACTATTACAGCTTGTGTTTTTCTTGACTGTAATCCTGGTGCATTCTATCTGAAGCTGTACTAGATTTAAGAATCTGAAGCACGTTGTATTTGAATGACACTACTTTTCATTATTACTGCAGTAATCTCCAAAAGGTAGTTAGGATCTGCAGTGTGACTCAAGCTGTTCTTCCTTTCAGGTGCCAACCACAACATTTTAAGAAATGCTAGTAATAGCTGAAGAAAATCAAGCGCCCAGAAATGAAAGGCTGTTCAGCAGGGCTCGGGTCTCAGCCCTCTGGATAACAACACAGCAGGCTTTGCAGAAGGTAATCATGGAGACACTTTTATTTGACTGCTGGCTTTCCAGGCACAGTCTGTGTAAGTCCTCATCTCTCATTCCATCTCAATCATATCCTCATTGGGTCCATTTTCCGCTCTCACCAGCGGTTCGTTTGTTGTTTTTAGCACAGCTGCCAGCTGATGCCAGAAAATCCTCTGTTTGTGTTCTTCGGGGCTCCACTTTAAGTAGGTTTTTCTTTTCAGCAGCTTTCTGAGTTTGCTGAACTTCTGAGGCACGCTGTTGGGCGGGAGGTCTTCCAGCACTATCATAATGAGGGAGTCCTGATTTTCATCCAGGACCCGATGTTCAGCAAAATACAGTTCATACTGACACCAGCAGCTATTTACGAAACTGGGAGAGAGAACAAAAAGGACTTTATGGCTGTTCTCTATGCAGTAAAAAATGTTGCCAAGTACAGGATGCCCTGGTTTGAAGTCTCTTTCGTGATAACATATCTTGAATCCGTCAGTTTCCAGTTTTTTCAGTAGATTCTCTTTTGTCCAGTCTGCATCGTGCTCGCTGTATGAAATGAAGGCATCGAAGGGCTTGTTTTCTGGCCTCTTCTTGTACTGCTTCCTCTTTGCCATACACCAGTACCAGCCCATTCTCACGTACCACAGCCCATCAAAGCGCCAACATAAGCCGGTCAGCACCAGAACAACCAGGATGGCCACAGAGGCTGTAATGGCCATCTGAATGCCCAGGGAGCAGTGCAGAAGTGTGAGATTGCTGCTCTTCACCAGCGAGCCCCGCCTGTCCGGTGGGAAGCTGCACCTGAGATCGTCTTTGCCATTTATCTGCAAATGTGGGTTATGGATGTAGACGTTTACAAACCAGTACAAGTCACAGTTACAAAAGAAATGTCTGCCTTGAACAGTCAGAACACTCAGACTCGTTAGCTGTCCGAAAGTATCCTGCACGATGGTAGTGATGGCGTTGTCGCTGATGTCCAGCTCCTGCAGAGAAGCTGGGAGGGAGCCGCGCTGCAGGAAGGAGATCTTATTCCCTGATAAATTGAAATGCTTCAGCATCGGGAGAGCTCGCCCAAAGTGGTCGGGGAGTTCTGAAATCAGGTTGTGACTGCTGTCCAGGTTAGTGAGTGCAGAAAGTTGGCTGGCGGGTTCCAGTCTGGTTATGAGGTTTCCAGAGACGTTAAGCGATCCGAGGTTCTCTAGGGCTTCGGTTAATGCCAGCACCTTCAACTTGTTTTTACTAACATCGCATGTTGTTAAAGTCGACGGGAAGTATTCAGGATGCATATCTGTAATTTTATTGTTTTGAATGTTAAATACGGTTAAGTTGGAGAGAGATTTAAAGCTAGGGGGTATCATCTTAATATCGCTGTTGCTTATGTCGAGGTGCTGCAGAGAGATTGGTAAGTCAGGAAGCATGGAAATGCGATTGCTGCTGAGATCCAGAAATAGCAGTTGTTGCATTCTGTTGGCAAACCATTCTGGAAGTTCTACAATGGAGCAGTTGGACACTTTCAGGTGCTTCACTCTCTCTGGAAGGCTTTCGATGGGTGTACCAGCCTGGTTTCTGACAAAGGAAATGGCACTGATATGTACAGTGCCAGGGGGAGGCCTTGTGGCTGCGCTGGGGCTGTCTGGACGTACGGTGTATATGAGCTGATTTCCTTGAACATACAGACGTTCCAGTTTGGATAACTTTTTAGCAAAATTTGCGGGTATTGTACTGATGTTTGTGAAGGACAAATCGATGACCGTGATGGTTGGAGGCAGACACATCGTTTCCAACCTGTTTATGGGATTGTTGCTGATATTTAGAAATGAAAAGTTGCTGAATGGGAAGTGACAGATTGCTTCAACGTCTATGTTGTTAATTGTTATTTTGTTGTAGCTTGCATCAACGGACCGTATGTCTTTCATTGGCAAAAACAGGACAAACAGGGATAGAAGATCCATTTCCAGGTCGCTGTGACTAATGTTAAACTCCAAAACAGCACCCAGCTTAGCTTGGCAGAGGTCTGCATCCAGTTTTGCTTCCAGCTCTTCATTAGACAGTTTGGTCCTTGATAGGTCAAGCAACCCATTGATTGGTGCTCCACACACGTCAGGCCTCAGCGTGGCTGCTGGAGGGGAGGTTGTATTTTCCTCTGCTCTTCTTCGTCTGAACCTTGGGCTAACATTTCCTGGATTGGATGGATCTTCCAAACGTGGCAGCAGTTCAGCTGGTGTAGGAGGCTCCAGAGCAGTCTCTGCTGATGTTTGAAAATACATATAAGTCTGTGAAGGTCCTGAGGCCCCACTGGTCGGTATGAGTTTCAGGTGAGGTGCAAGATCAGATACCAGAAGATTCTCATCATTAAATGATAAATCCACAGAAACAAGGCTGAGCAGGTTCTCAAATGCACCGAGTTCAATGTCCTTAAGGTGATTGTAGGAAAGGTCCAAAACTTCCAGTACATCAAAACCTTCAAAGTCTCTTTTGGTTATTTTTTCAATTGCATTATGTGAGAAATTGAGAGCTCTTGCTGTTTTGGGAGCTTGTGCTTCTGATACAGAAGTGAGGTTTAAGTAAGAGTAGTTATAAAATGGGAAGGAAGACATTGGAGATGTTCTCTGATTTAGGAATCCATTGGCTCTACTGAATAAGAAAGAAATGAAGTAGAAATAAAGACTTCCGATAAGGGTCCTCATCCTAGAGCAAAGAAATGTAAAATCCATCATTATACTATGCTCTACATTGCATAAACGAGTATCCTTTAAATATGTTAAATAATCCCACTTTATGGGCAAGCACATAAATTGCTTCACTAGTCACATCTGAATTCCTTGTTATCCACACAAAAACGTGTCCCGCTTCGTTATTTTGTTCAAGAGGCAGGACTAGAAGAGGTGTCAGAAGGATCTGAAGTAGAGCACTGTGCATTTCAGATCAATGCAGCGAATCTGAGTGTTTGCTGCTGTAAAATAACCTTTTCCCTTCCCCAGGCAGGTTGTAAGCAGCCTTCTCAGCAACAGCTTCCCGTTGTGCAATCTGAATTGCGCTTTCCTAAATGCTGTTTGCAGGTTTCGCGCTTCTCATCCTGACTCAACTGAATTTACCACTGAACATTGATTTAATCTTACCTGCAGGAAGAAGAAAAAGAGAAAACTGGCTCCGAAGATGAAATGGGTGGATTTGGATGTGGCATCCTGCACCAGGAGAGGTCACTGCCTGCCGACCCACTCATCTCTGAAGACTTCCCTGAGCCTGGTAAGGTCGCCGCTCGGCTGCTCTTCTGCCCCACGTCTTTCTTGGAGTTTGCTCACACTGGGTCATGCACTTCCATGTCTTCTATTTGTTATGTGGGAATGTGCACCATTAGCAGAGTGATCGAGCCTTATCATAGCCCCTTTTAGCCGCCATCACAGCTACCAGGCCGGGATCCTCACATTTAACTGAGAAGAAGAAAGCAGAGGGAAGGCAAAGCCCTTCCAGATATGTCCTCAGTCCTGAACAGCCCCAAGACCAGAACCAGGATCAGCCCCACTAAACACCCCACACCAGTAAGCCACCCCCAAGATGTCAAAGCCTTGCACAGCACCTACAGATGAGAGACAGTTAAAGCCTACCTCGTGTTTCTAGTGCCCACTCTCCTCACAGCCCTGCTGCAGCCTCCAGAACTGCCCGGTCCCACTGCTGCTTTTGTATTGCTGCCAGTGGGGTGGGACAGGCTGTGGGGTGAGTGTGGCAGGGTTCTCCTTCTCACAGCAAGAAACCTTCCTGCCAATGGGTGCCCATTGCTTCAGGGGGAAATGGGGCGTGGGAGCTGCTTGATTTAAGGTTTAGAGGTCGCTCTCAACGACCTGCTCCCAAGGTATTCTCTGGGATTTTTGCTGCCGTGCTGCAGTTATGATAAAGATAGGAAGGAGAACCAAGAGAATACTCTGTAACGGATGTCCCACTGTACTGTTCTCAGCCTTTCTGGAGGGGGAAGAAAAAACAAGTGTCATTGGACTTACATTTGGAAATGGGAGAGCTGGTCACGCTGCTGCTGGAAGCCTCGCTTCTGTCTGAGCAGGGAAAAGAACAGGAGATTTTCTTCTTGTCTGTAGTGCTGCCTTTAAAGATGTGCTCTGCTTGCAGCTCGCTCAGGTTCAGGATGTTGGTGGAGTCAACAGATTGCACAAGGCACTGAGTGCTGTCATTTGCTCTGCTGCTTCTTCTAAAAAAACCTAATGTTGTTTCCACTCTTTTGTAACCATCAGTGACTGGAAATTCTTATGATAGCCCTGTCTGGACCTGAGGGACCGGAAAACCCCAGGGTTGTTTGCATCCCCTTTCTAATCAGAGCAGCACTTTCCTCCTCAGCCAGACTGGGAATTGCCCTGAAGCCGTGCCTTGCCCAAACAGATCCCTCCCTGCTTTAGCAGGAGACGGGAAATCAAGAGTGTTTTGGACGTCAGAACTGAACCTGCAGTGACCCCCTGTAGGTAGCTGCGTCTCCCTGGTGAGCCTTCCTTTCTTGACCAGAAAGGAGCCACTCAATTCTTGAAACTCACTCTGTAGCCCCCTCCTTTGAGAAGATGGACCGGCTGTGTTCCAGCACAGGACTGTTTTGGGGACTGTGGAGGAACAGCAGCACACAAGAAAGCCCTGTGTGAGTGACGAGGCAAAATGCAAGTGTGGCCGAAGGCAGAACTGAGGCAGATTTGGGGAGTCCAAGTATTAGTGTTGTAATGTTAATGTTAAAATAATACCCCGTGTTTCTGTACTTGAGAAAACTGTTTCCAAGCCTGATTGTCTTATTTTGACCCTTGAACTAGGTGAAACTTTGCAGGGGCTGTCTTGCCTCACACATTGAGCCACTGCATCCTTTCAGCTGTATCTAGCTGTGCTGGTGTCTTACATAAATAATCTCTCTGCTTCTTGTTTCAGTCATGCAGATAATTACTTGTGAGTTTGAATGGCAGTTAGGAATTAGCTCTAAAAGGAATCCCTATTGTCCGAAGGCTCAGGGCTGCTGTGTTTGAGCACTCTTTGGGTAGAGATGGAAGATCATTCATCATATGACTCTTACTTTCTACAGAAAATTCCAATCCCATTTCCTGATGGCTTTTTAGCAGGTCCTAGCAGGAAGTGAGTGACTCTGTGCTACATGGGTTGGGTTTTGTAGGAGTTCACCAGTTTCTGACTCATAAGTGAGTTTGAAGCATTCCTGTACTGATAAGCTGGGGAGAGGGAAACGTCATTAGGTGCTTATTGCTGATGATCTTTGTTTGTGTGGATGGATCTAGTATTCTGGGGCATAAAACAGTTCATTCTTTGAGCTCTTCTCATTGAAATAAATACCTTCAATAAGAGGCATGTTTCACTTTCACAGATCTACTTTCCTTTGATGTAATTCCCTTTGACTAATTGCAGATTACATAGGTGCAATTACTGCTGTCTGCTGTTTGAGTTATTTTCCACACTGGTGATTCTTACATGAGGAAGGAATCAAATGCCTTTCAGGCTGAGGTGCAAACCTGCATACCATCACAGGCATAAATCTAAGCAGATCGGCCCCTGAACCCACAGAGCTCCATTTCCACTTTATGCTTTCTGCACACCCAAGGAAGCTCATTTTTCCCTCTTTTTGGTTCTGAGAGGCTTCCACATCCTAGGGCCTGCTTAGTAGAGCATTGAAGGAGCTTTTCTTCCAAATTCAAATGTATGAGAATGTAAGCTTATGTTAGGATTAATTACTTCCAGCAGTATCAACTCGTGATCTGTTGTGCTCTTTGGTTTTTGGTGCACATCTTTCCTCCTCCTCCTCCCACACTGGTTCTTTCCCAACTCAGCTGTTAGCAGGGGAGATACAGGAAAAAGAAAAGTGTTCCTCATCTCTGTGAGTTGGAATCAGGTCCTTCCTGAAGGACTTGTAAGGAAACCTGTGCTGTCTGCTGGGCTTTCCCTGTCGTGTGGGAGGTGTTGCACCACACAGTAGTTCTTTTCACTAAGGACAGGGTGAAGAAATTCTCATGCCTTGAAAAAAAAATATTTGTTTTCTGTGAGCACAGGAAAAACCTGTAGTGCAGCACTGCTCCTGCTGGGCTTGGAGCAGATGGTGTCAGGACCCTCTGCTGACCTTTACTGGCAAAGGTAAATGACGTGCACAACCCAGGTCAAAAGCAGTTAATTTAGGTGCCGGCCTGTCACCCAGTTCCTGTCACAATAAATAATTGGTTGGAGAGATAATCAGTGGTAGTCTGTGGTGGCTGGACAGAACGAGCTGCCTGGGAGAGGAGATGTCCTGACAGAGGAATGTGAGACCAACGTGCAGCATGGATTTGGCTCTTAGTCTCTTGAAGGCAAAATGCCTCAGCTACCTGAGCTTTAGCTTAGTGCTTTACTTTTCATCTTTGTTATCCAGCTGTGGGCTTTGCTCATTGCTGGCAAAGCTTTTTCTTCCTGTAGTAATAAATGGTTGTTAAGTCTGGTGTTGCCTCAGGTACCGTTTTGGTGTTTGATGTTCAGTGAAGCCCTTGTTGTGTAATGCAGAGCGCTAATGGCAAGAGCCAGAGGGTTGGATGTCGTGGTGTTATGCTTGCAGGTGTGTTGGGTGCAGAGCAGGGATATGTGAGCACATTGCTTCCCTGCAAGGGGTGGCAGAAGCTGAGGAATATGGAGAACTGGATATGTGGTTTTGGCAACAGCACATAAATAGCAGCAGAACTTCATTGGTTTCAGTGGCATGCTGAGGTGCTGTGGCTGCTTAGTCACAGAGGCTGCACTTCCCCACTGTGCTGGGGACTTCTCTGCTATGAGGGGAAGTGGAATTCTTTAAATTCTGCAGGTATCTATCTTTATCTTCTTCTCTCATCTAATCTACCACAACAAACAGAGGTGCAGAAAGGTTTTAGTCTGTTGTGGTTTCTCCTCCCTTGAATATGACCTAACACAATACATGCTGACGAGGTCTGACAGTGTCCCCCACACATACAGCCTGGGGCTCGAGCACTCACTGCTTAGTGGTTCTGCACAGCACTGAGCCACAGTGATGCTGACTTTCCTAAAAGCAGGTAAATAGAGATGGAGCAGCCTCAATTCAGAACTGCCATCAGGGGTCGCACAGTTCTGTCTCACACTTCCACCTGCTGCTGCAGCCTCAGTAAGAGTCAGCCAGCCCATTATCAACACAGATTAGAGGAAGCTAAAGCTAAACACTGTATTTTCTTACTATTATGTTGACCTGGGAGTACCCAAAGTAGTTTAAAGGCGTTTTGGTTGCAGCTACTCACACTGCAGTTCCACCTTTGGCATCCATGCAGGCAGTATGGGAAGATGCTGCTGGAGCCTGCAGCCTTTCTTCCCCTGTCTATCATCTGCGCTTTCTGAGACCACGTTCTTAAGCACACCGCACTGCCCACTTGCAGACACGAACTCGTTGAATCGCGTGTAAAGACAGCCTTCGGTCAGTAGGGGGCCCAGATTGCTAGGGGCTGTTCCGGATGCCCATTGAGAGGAACCGGCTGTTCAGGCAAGTTAAAATACTTCAAGGAAACAAAGTTAAATATCTAAAGTTTGGTCTTTGCTTCTTATGCCTCTAGTTTTCTAAAAGCTGGCTTAATACGAGATTAAAAAGTAAGGATGATTTTCCTCGTGCTTTAGGGAACATTACAAAATCTAGTTAAGTCAAGTCCTCTTCCCCTGTCCCAGCCATAACAGGACCAGGCAATCCAAAATTAGGATGTGAACAGGAAGAATGACTTTGCATCTAAATGGCCCATCATCGTGCTGCTGCTTTGTTCTCTTCTGCTGTGAAGAGAGTAAATTAGTTGCTAATTGCAACAGTGTCCCAGCTTTACTTGATACTCTGGATAGTACCAGACCAGCCACATGCCAGATGCTCAGCGGATTTCCGCTCGAGATCAGTTATGAAACTCCTACACTTTGCACAACTGTAGGAAAGAGGAAACCTGCAGCAGGCTGACAAACTAATGGCAATCCAGACACTGAGGACACACAATTGCTATGCACTGAAGTGTTGCCCAGCTTCTGTGCATCTCAGCATCATTACACACCTTGCACAACTCCCAAGCTGATTATGGCAGAACTCAATAGAAAGTATCTGAAAGCACTCAGTAAGTTCTTTCTCAGTTGGAACCTTGATTCTCAGCAGGATGGTGCACGTGCCAAGTCTTACTGCAGGGCTGTGACCTAAGGACACACAAGTCATCTGGTGTGTTTATTGTGAACAAGGTCGGTTTGTGGTCACTCAGAACAAGTTAGGGATGTGGCACTCAGTAAAAGCAGCAAAGGAACTTTCTGCCAGCGCTACAGTGTTCTCAAGGAAGGAAGTCTTTAGGGGTATGTTGCATGACAGCTGCTCCAAAGCAATCTAGTATTATACTTTAGCTCCCCAAGCAGAACAGCAACTCTGGTACGCGTCAGTAGGAATGGTCAGCAAAATAAATACATTAAGATGAATCTATGAAGTTAGTAATACCTACGAAGACAACAAAATAAATGGGACTTAAAAAGCAGCAGTGACAGCTGAACAGGAACAAAGTAAGTTAAGAGGCAAAAGGACTGTGATATTAATACTGGTTCCATCAGTCAAATTGAGGCAACATTTGTGTTTGGACAAACTAAGTGCATTAGAACAACAAATTATTGCTGGGATGCCTGATGAAGGCTTCTGCAAGAAGTGCTGGTTTCCCTTTTCCCTTCTGTTGGCAGTTGAACTCCTCCCTTGAAGCCAGACCGTGTCCATTTTGCCTTTTGAAAGGTGGTCATTTGTAACCCGATGATGACGACAATCGATGCAGAATGCCTCACACACCAGTCAAACAAGGAATGCAAGACAAGATTTTAATTGTTAAAAGTTTATCGATAACCTCTTATATACACATAATTATACACAAAGTGGTTCACGAGTCCCTCATCTCGGGCAAATCTGCTGGTGAGGCTGGTTGGCTGAACACTTCTGTACTGGTCGCTCATCTCACAGGTACGGTGTGAATGTGGGAAAGGCCAGCTGGGATGCTGATGGGTATGGCTTTCTTCATGGACCGTGCTGCTCTTTAGCTGGGTACTGAAAGGAGCCCGTATTCATCTGCTGTATCCAAAATTTTACAGATGACAGGAGATTCCACCTTGAACACACAAGATCAAAACTGAAGTGTGAAAATATGAAATAACTGTGAAATAACTTTTACAAGAGACCGCAACAGAGATCACAAGGTTAATGGCAACCTTGGGGTTGAGGTTGGGGGTTGCCTGAGGGGAGGAGGTGCAGCACATGTCACATATTTAAGGTGCCCAGTGGTGACCAGATGGAGCAGCACCTTCATCAGATTTGCTAAGAACACTGAAATGACATCAGCATTT